CGGTCGCGGACCCTACTGATTCTAACGTCACGGTCGCGGACCCTACTGATTCTAACGTCACGGTCGCGGACCCTACTGATTCTAACGTCACGGTCTCTTCGAAGACCACAAGCAAGACTCGTGTGGGCTGTGTACGACTTCAGTCAGGTACAATGAACCCTGCCACATGGTATGCAAGGAGCTCGCCACCCAGGCTCCACACGCTCCAGGGCAGAAGACGGGAAGTAAAACTGGCCATCACTGCAGGGCCACGGGGACAGGGCGGGGAAGGGACCCAGAGTGATCCAAGGCGACACGGGCGGGGGGTGCTCTCAGCTGTCTAATATCTAAACTGGTTCCTTGAAGGAGGAGGAGGGACAGGAGGAGGAAGAGGAGGAGGAGGAGGAGGAGGAGGAGGAAGTGGAGGAGGAAGAAACAGCTGATAGACAGCATCAAAGGCAAAAAAAAAAACACCCCCAGAGTGTTCAGGGAGAGGAATTGAGTGTGTCATGGAGACATGGAGGGCTTGGTGGGTGTGCCTAGCCACAGGGAAGTGCGCAGGGCTGGCCAAATCCTGAAGGGCCACTGACACAATTCATCTCCAGGCGAAGGGGAGAAAGGGGAGCGTAATGCTTGGATCTGCACCCTGAAATGGGGAGGGTTAATACAGAGGAAGGCAGAGCACGGATGGCGGCTGCATGATCCCGAGAGAGGACGGACAGATGGAGATGTGAGGGGGGTGAAGAAGAAACGGACCTGCAGCGTTCTAGAACTAAAGTGTGTGATCTAACAGCTACGAGTGCGGGTCACTAGGGAAGAGAAGAATCAAGGTGACTCTGAACGATCTGGACAAGGTCCTTCTGCAGGACCTTCTGGACCGGGAGATGACACACACTCACTCACACGCGGCTCTGTATCTGCTCATCCTCGGTGAAGCTGCTGATCTGGGGAGGGGCGTCAAAGCCTGAATCGTACAGGAGCTCCTCTCTGCCTGCTGTGAGTTATAAACGCCATGCCTCAGCCTCTCTGTGCTCCTTCACAGATTGGGGCTAAAGGAGGACAGAGGTCAGTGCCCTCTACACTTTTCTATATTCCAGGGGAAGCTGGTCATTCCAAAGGAGCGGGGTCAGTGTGGCTAAGCGGAACCAAGTTCAGCTGGGTGCTGGTGGCTCACACCGTCATCCTAGCTACTCAGGAGGCTGAGATCTGAGGATCGCGGTTCAAAGCAAGTCAGGGCAGGAAAATCTGTGAGACTTTTATCTCCAATTAACCACCAGAAAACCAGAAGTGGTGCTGTGGCTCAAGGGGTAGAGCGCTCACCTTGAGATGAAGAGGTGAGGGACAGCGCCCAGGCCCAGAGTTCAAGACCCACGATGGACAAGGACCCAAATTCAGGAAGAAGATTTACTATCTCTATATGATTGCCTCAAAGATCCTAAGACTTCCCTGTTCCAGAGTGGAGGGATGAAATGCAGACTGTGCTTCGGATGTGTGGTGCGCCCCGTTTCAAACCCACAGTGCCATGCAGGGACTCACCCCTTCGCCGCCATCTTCCCCGGTGCTGGCTAGCATCTCCTGCAGGGCTCTGACGGACAGGGACTGCTCCAGCACGAAACTGCAGACGCAGAGATCTGGCGGAATGTACTGCGGAAATAAAACAGAGTGAGGAGGCCTGCTTACGCCAGCCAGGGAGCAGTCAGGCACAGCATTTCAAAGGCATGACCCAAAACGACACTGGACACATGAATTCGCATGCAAAAGGATGGCTTTCTTTTGTTCATGATGAGACAGGGTTTACGCTGGATTCTGAAGGCTGGGAAGAGGCCAGCCTCAAGGCTGAGGGAAAGTGTAACCAGGAAATTGTGCAGCAACTCAAGTGCAGGCTGGCTCGCGTGCGCTTGTGTCTGAGGGATGGGGGAAGACAGGTTCATCTGGACCTGTATCTGCGGGACAAGGGAGGGCAGACTCAGCAGCAGCTGTGGTACAGTGGGCCCAAAGAAGACCACTACTGGATCTCAGTCATGAAGAGCAGTGTCCAGACCAGGATGGGCTGGAAGACTGCAGTGACCAAGTAGGGAATCTGCTTATCTGATAAGAACCTGGACATCCGTGTAAAAAGAAGCAGCAGAGAGGATTAACAGCTCTGAACAAAGACATTTCCAGATAAGAGCTGCCAATCCCTGTAATAACCCGTCAGGATCGGCAGCACTTGGTTAGCACTATGACACTTGGCCTGTTCTAGAACAGTTCTCTACAGCGCAAGAAAGACTGGACGTAACAGCTCGCAGAGGACTTCCTCTTTACATATACCAACTTACTTCTTAGATCCACCCAATGAGACAGTGCCTCGTCATGTTCTAGTTTTTATCCAAGGATACCAAGACCCAGAGAATTTAGGCCACCTGCCTCCAGGTATTATATCTGGCCAAGTGAGACTCGTAGGTAGCCTGTCTCCAGAAGCCATGCCCCTAAAGACACAGCTGGAGTGCCCTATCGCTGCTAAGTATAAGTGTGTCTATGTAAATGCTAGATATTGAGGAAGGCACTGAGGAACAAGATCTTTTCTCCTCAGGAGTTTACCGTCCAGTGCCCTGCTACGCAATCTTCTGTGGGAACACAGCATGTGATCATCTTGAATGCCAATCCTCCGGCAGAACACTAACACCGCGAGAGTAACAGCGAGGAGAGACGCGGGCCAGCGTCTCTGACAGCTCTCTCAAACTTCCAGACAGGTAGCGCTGTCTCCACGGAGCTTGGATGTAAAGCTGGCCTGTTACAAAGACTCAGATAGCTTTCTGACAAGTGTTTTCATTTAAAAACAAAGACAAAGAATTAGTTATCTTTAAATTCCCTTTTATGTCCAAGTATGTGTACGTATTTCAACCCCTCTGAAATTCAATGTCCTCAAAATTAAGAGAGGTCCCGAGTTACTGTGGGTTTTGGACCTTCCTACAATTTTACTTTATTAAAGCTCTTTATTGAAGTATTAATCCAGGAACAAGCAATCCTGTCAGCAATAAGCAACTTACATTCTCAAGTACTTTTCTACAAAGGTCTTCAGTAGGCTTCTATTTAAATACTCGAGGTCTCTTACAGTCAACGGCTCTAACCACCTAGAATTCCTGCTGTACAGAACTGTCCTACAATTCACGTTATGAAAACAACTTATCCAAAGACCACGAGGAGGACACGGCTTATTTTGTGTTCCCCTTTCTTATTCACAAGGTCTGCTGTCTCCTTTGTGTAAGACTTGGTGGTGCGGGGCAGGGCCTCGTACACAGGAAGCGCTTTCAGGACGCAGGTGGCATCGTTCCAGCAGCACACGGATCCATGATGAAGCAAGTCCCTGAGGAGCCTCTGCCGTAAACAGACTCCCCAGGTACGGAACCACCTCGGGAGGCGTATCCATGCCCATCACTCTCAGCCAGCAGACCTCCGGGAAGCCAGGGTCTCCTCCACCTTCACCGAGCCTGGTTTAGAGACTGTCCATTGCAGAACACCCGCAGCTAAGGCTGGCTCTGGACTCATCAGTCATTTCTGCATCATGTGAACGTTCACAGGAAAGCAGGCGTGTTCCCTTGAAGACAGAAGCCTTTGCAGCTGCATGGATGAGAGGCCTGCCCTGCGTGTGACCCGCACTCAGATCCGCACTGTCCTCCCCGGGCCCAGACCCGCACGCTCTCCTCCCTGCGCCCAGACCTGCGTGCGCTGTCCTCCCCGGGCCCAGACCCGCGTGCGCTGTCCTCCCCACACCAAGATCCGCACTGCCCTCCCCGGGCCCAGACCCGCACGCTCTCCCCGGGCCCAGACCCGCACGCTCTCCTCCCTGCGCCCAGACCCGCGTGCGCTGTCCTCCCCGGGCCCAGACCCGCGTGCGCTGTCCTCCCCACACCAAGATCCGCACTGCCCTCCCCGGGCCCAGACCCGCACGCTCTCCTCCCCGCGCCCAGACCCGTGTCCCGTGTGCGCTGCCCTCCCTGCGTTCGGTGTGGTGGGAGAAAGGGCTGGCGCTCTCCTTATTTTGGCCATCATATTGGTCCCCTGGACGGTGGACCGCCGCCAGATGCCTGGCACTCTGCAATAGTAGCTCTTCTTCTCTCCAGGCTTTCCAATCCCGAGGAAGGCCGATCTGACGGGTACGTGTGCACAGCTGGGCAGCGACCCGGCCGATCTGACGGGTACGTGTGCACAGCTGGGCAGCGACGCGGCTGATCTGACGGGTATGTGTGCACAGCTGGGCAGCGACCGTCAAACGAGGAGAGTGGCTGGCAGTGTGTTTCCTCACCTTCGTGTGTGGCCCCTGTCTGGTTCGTTTGAACTGGAGAGTACGGTCGTGGCTCCTTAACAGCACACAGAGCAGTGTCTGGCAGGGGCAGCAGGGCGGCGTGGAGAAGCACAGCTTCACTGTGCACGCACAGAACGCGGCCGTCCGGCCTGCGCCAGCCCTGCCCCATTAAACTCCAAACCAGTTTGAACTCACACCTTCACACACCTGAAAGATGAGCCAAGGCCACGGGTCCCTCAAAGCTCAGTTGCCTGCAGCCAAGAGAGCCCCAGGAGGCCGGCTCGCGGCCTCCGCTCTGGAGCCCATGCTCAGCCACTCTTCCTGGCCGGCGTGGGGCACGCTGCTGCTGACTCCAAGCACGGAGAGAAGGCTCTGCTGACATCTGCTCCGAAATAGCACCTCCTCACTCTCCCAGCTCAGAGAAGAATTTCATCTCCTACAGTGTCCTACAGAAAACCTTGAGATGCCAGAGACCCGGGAAAGCCAGGAACTCGCTGTGAACACTGGATGTGGAAGTGATGGGCAAGGAACCGAATATAGCCAGGTTTCTACTGGATGGGAAGGGATTGAACTCAGCAAGACCAGACCACAGTGAGTATCAGAAAGAAACAGAGTGATTATATTTGGAAACGGCCACAGGAGCCTCTCGTTGGGCCAAAGGAAAGTGTCAGGAGACTGTGAGGCGTCCTGCGGTGTCTGCAGGGGCGGGGGCTGACTGGGAGAGGAGGGCGAGGGGCAGGCGCATGCTCTCCCGGTGTCCATCTGATTGACCTCGCTTGCACTCAGGAACACAACCGCATGCATTGAGCACTGTCCTCGGTGCCCTGGGAACAACACAGACATGTTTTCTGTCTTTCAAGTCATTTCTAAGCTATGAGAAGAGACCTGTCATTGCCCAAGATTTTAAGAGACACAAATGTAGCTGCTGAATGCTGTTCCAGGAGATCCGGCCCGGCCGGCCGGTAGGGAGCCTCTGGGCATCCTTGTGGGAGCCTGGCCTCAGGGGTGAGGATTTATCTTTGCCCAAGCAAGGACTGTGATGCATCATAAATGTAAATATATAGAGAGACATACGCATTTATAAAATGATCAAGATAGAAGAGGCATTCTTTCCATTGTCCGCATTATGTATAGTCTTCCCTTCCTTTTAAAATTACACTACTGGAACGGCATTTCTAAGTTACGGGGTCTACAGCAAGTCTGTCCCTGTCTGTGAAGGCTGAATGCCTTTAGGATAACTTCTTCTATCACAGTGTGGCTATGATTATTTCACTTTGTTACTGATCCTATATTGCGCCTCATTTATAAATCTCTAGCCATGGGCACGTATGGACAGAAACAGTATAGACAGAGCTCCACGGTGGCTGTCATTTCAGAATCCACTGGTGTTCTTGGGCAGTCAGTGCTACGAACGCATCACACCAGCGTAGACTAGAAGCTAAGTCCTGTTCTCTGGGGTTCCATCCAAACCAGGACAGCAGCATGAAAGGTTAAGCGTGTGCGTGTCAGAAACCTGAAGCCAGAAGGTTGGAATAACTTAACTTTCCATCAGCATTTCACTTGTAACAGCGAATTAACAAGCTTTTAAAAAGGCTCTGTGCGTCGCTGGATTACAATGAACTAAGAGTCAACACACTAAAGGAAGTGAGCTTCCTTCCTGGACCGCTAGGCCACGAATGGTCACAAAGGAGCTGGGGAATTGTGACACAGCAGAACTCGGGGAAGCTGGGTTTTTTTGACCTGCCAACAGCAAGATGCCTTGAGAGACAATCTCTGAATTTTCAAATCCATCTAATGGAGGAGACCATTGCTATAATTCCCTCTGCAGTGACGTGGCTATGGTTAGTCACCTAAGGCTCTGAGCTGGAGGCCTGGTGCCGAGAGTGGTGATGTGGGAGAGAGGTGAGGGGCTGAGAGCTGGAGGCCAGTGCGTGGGGCCTCCTGCGGGAAGTGCTACCACAGTCCCCCTGAGCCCTCAGGGCTCCCACAAAGTGGGCTGTCACAAAGCCCACGGCTGACCTCTCTCTGTCTCTGGCTTCCGGCCTTACCATGTGTATGAGCTACTGCTCAGGCCCCAGACTCAGAGCCAGATCCATGTGCTTGTCCAATCTTATCATTTCAGTTCATTTCCCCAAGACTCTGAGCCAAATAATCCTCTAACAATGAAGACGGACTCACCCACCCTCTACACGCTCTATTGTCTAGTCAGGGAATAAATGTGTGTTCGCTGCTATCACTCTACATTTCAAAAGTTGTGTAGATAAAGTCCTTCTCCCTCCCCTTCCTCCCCCCCCTTTCCCTCCTCCTCCCCCTCTCCCTCTCTCTCTCCCTCTCCCCCCCTTCCTCTCTGTCTCTCTGT